AAAGCACACTTCATAAAATAATGCACTGCTTATGTGTAGTTATTATGTAATGGTATTCCACGTTATTGAGTTGGTGTTGTACATTTCTCTTTTGATACTGGATGCTGACGTCCATCATTGACCTCTGAGCATGCTTTGGTTGATTTTTGTCCAGTTCCGTTTCAAAATGCGCATAACGTTTAAGCAATCTCGACCACACTTGGTGGTATTTTTATCACTTTTGCTCTTTTGACCTTACCTTCACACAATCCTTCTAATTACTTTGAAGAGAAAGGTTACCCATAGTCTGTATGTTCAATGTGTAGACTCCTTTACTTATAACAAGATATTCACACGCACTCTCATTACATTGAAGAGAGAGGTTGCTATGGGTATTCTATAGTTTAAGAGACTAGTAAATGGGGTATATTAGCGAATAAAATCGAATTGGTAAAATATTGGTTAGTTGAGGAAATGACTTTTTCACCAGTTGTTTCACTTAATACATCTGATGTGTGCAGTGCAGAGTGCAATAATATCGCTTCAAAAAATATCACTCCTACGTTATATTAATGAAGAAAGTCCTATTCTGGATTAACTATTGTTCACATTTTAAATTTGTGTGTTTGGTAAATTTCCAGGCACTTCTTATATGCTCATTCAATAATTAACTAATAGTGTCTCTTTCCATCTGAAAACTCATAATGTTTTTTTTTATGTCTCGGAGTTTTTCTGATGAACCGGAGTATATATATTTAGAGAAGTGTTTATCCTCAGATTTTTACATATTCAAGTGCTTTTTTATTACAACGAAGACATTTTGATTTCTCCGATTTCGTGTTTTATGCTAGGAAATATGTCTTACACGAATGTAAAGAATATACCCGCAGATGTTTTGTTTTGTTTATAGTTAAGCACAAATCTACACAAAAGGTTATCTGTGCTCTTCCCACAACGGATATTGAAACCCGGTTTCTAGCGCTGTAAGTCCGTAGATGACGTAAGTTTAAACTCCAGAAATTTTTTATTGTTGTTGACTGAAAATCCAACAAGAAACAACATGTAAGCGCTATGTACCATTGCTTTCAAATAAATAATCAGTAACGTGCAAAAAATATTAAAATGGCAGGGGTTCGTTGACATATAGAGGGCGCTTTTCAAGCTGCAAACCTGTTTTGGAGAGTGAGGTGAATTATTAGGAGAGACTATGGGGACAATGGGTTGTCTCTGGCATACCTGGGGATAATAAGACCATAAGAAGAACTTGATCTTATGAATACTTTTAAAATCTAAAACTAAACAGTGAATGTTTGCACATTAATACTTAATAGCATTACACAGTTATTATTTTACTGTAAAGATTCACAATTCCCTGTGTTAAATTCATTTTAAAGCTGGAGTCTTTTTTTTTCTACTTAATAATTCGCAGTAGGGAAAGTGAAATCAGGTTTGAGCCCACCCAGCCAACGCCTTTGTACGTCACTGTAAACTATATCAAAAAATAAAAATCTTTCCATGCCGAGATGGCACATTGGATCCGGTGTTGAACTCCAGCTTAATTTGCATAAGCGGATGAGGATCGTGGCGCATTCTACCTGGATGAGGTACCAGGCCATCACCAGTTAACCTCGCAGCTAACAGCTGGTACCCATCATACAGTTTGATAGACTGAAACAACTACCTTGATCAAGGACAGAACAACATCACGCTCGTCAGCCTTGAACTAGCAACCATCCGACTGTGTGTCCAAAGCCCGTAGTTAAGGCACCACGCTCTCTAACTTCAATATCGCGTTCTGCATCCTAAAGCTATGGAGCTATGTCATTGTAAGAGTGACAGTCAAATCCCACTATTCGATTAGAGTAGCCAAAAAGTTAGCACTAAATGGCTTCTTTCTAGTTTATCCGTTCAAAATTAAGGAGGACTAGCGGAGATCTCCATAACTTTCGTGTAGCTTTGCGCGAGTATCCAATACAAATCTTTCGAGATTCAAATTCAGTTAAATAAATTAAACGGTGGTAAAGTAGTCGTTGGTAAATCGTTGAAAGTTGTCAAAATCTAACACTTTTACACGGAAATCTCTTAAGGTTAAGGAAGTGTAAGAGAGTTAGAAATAAATTTATTGTTTCCGCTGTTTGGAGCAAGTACACAACATACTGGATTAACCCTCAGGCCTGCTGACACAAGATGACAAAAATGTTTCTTATTCTTTTATTATCCGTGTTTTGTACTTTCATATTGCTTAGAGAGTTGACGATAAATAATTTTATATTATATCCTTTAAAAGTCAACTAACTAATTATCAGGTGGAAAACAGTGAACTCTTAAAGATCTCTGTAAGAAAGTTTTAGTGTGTACTGTAGAACGAAACGTGTTGAAGGTCGGTCATCGAATAAGTTTTGAATTTTGAGTAAGGGTCAATATAGTAAGAAAATATATATATACAAAGATTATCAAGATCTTAATCTAATACACTTCAATAACGAGTTCACCACTAAAGATAATTTTGATTATATAGACATTATGATATATATATATATATATACACAAACATTTTTGATGTTGCATCTCTGTATTTTTATATTTCATTTTAAGAAACAACTGCTTTTGTAAAAATCTGTCCTCGGTGATTCGTCAGTATGCTCGATGGCTTACATCGCTAAAATTTTGAATTCAATCCTTGTAGCAGGCAAAGTGTGCATAGCTCATGTTATCATTTTACGTCAAAACAAAAAACCGGTTCTGCGAATCTATTTTTTCCATCTGCATACCTTTTCGAAGGAATACCTAAATATTTGTCCCTATGAAGACCTGTGATAAGAAACATGTTTAAATCATGTAAATGAAATCCAGTAAAATCTATCAAAGAATTACTGTTCTCAAGTTAAACCATATTTTAAATACCTCATTTTTAAGTTCATTTCATTTGCTGTAAAGTAACCATGTTTTGAATGAAACAAGAAATAAGTTATATGAGAAGTTATCATGATAATATGACCATAAACCCTAAATGAAAACTATATAGCTGTCACCTGATGAAGGGTTACGTTAAAGTTAAGTTGTCATTCTTGTAGTCAGCTGTTTCCACCACAAGACGAATATATAAACTGAAGTTTTAACATAAGTAAATAATACTGGTTTTTGTAAAGAAGACTGTAAACTCCCTTAATTATGTCAATGGGTACAGTCTACGGATACGTACATTCGTGTTTTTATATATATTTTTTCCATTTTGAAATTATGCTCCCATGATTTAAGCTGTTATATACTGATAAAATATTTAAATTTTAATGCAGTACATAAAAAAACAAAGATATTTATAAGCCGCTTTGGTTTATGGAAAACAGGGACGGTAATTTTTATTTTAAAAACAATCCCCACCTTTTCGAGAGACAAAGGCTTTGTTCCTGAAGGAAAAATCACAAAACATATAAAATGTACTCCAATCTAGAAAATCAAAAATAAGACGATAAAATAAGAAAACAATTATAAACGTTGTAAAAAGTAAGTACCATCTTACATCACAACAACAACAAGGTTACGGAAAGATGAGGCAAGTTATTTGAAGAAATAAACAAGAATACAAACAAGGAATGGATAAGAACCATTGTCACGATTAACCTTACTTCGTTGTTACACGTATGAGATGATTAAGGATATTATGTGCATTTTGATTGTAATAACAATTTTATAGCACCAGAAATAGTAGAAGCTTCCGCAAGAGTCGAGTTAAATACGTTTCTGTTCCCTTTTACATCTTGAATACATAACTTCTGATGCTATTTTTTAGCCAATTTGCAGAGCTTGACAGAGATGAGTTTTTCAGTGCTCTGAATGATTTGAATATGCGGTTTTATTACAAGAAGATTCAGAACTCTTTTAATTCTTTCTGAAATACTTATTATATAAGAAATAACCACATTTTTCAAAAAATACCATCAGTCTTAATTTCTTAATTTTTACGTTTATTTTTAACATAGCATTAAGTAATAATATCCATCTGAGTGTCTGTCATCTAAAATATTCACGACAGTTTGCCAATGACAGTTATAAGTTACAGTTGCGTGGCGCCATCTATGAATGTAGTTAACGTAATCTGACGTCAAATATAATAATGGCTCAGTAACGGCAATAGTAGAGATGGTGGGTTGTGTACCCCTATTAACATGCTCCTTGTTCCAAACTATCATCTCACAAAGTTTAATTGAGATTGGCCCAGCGATCTAGAAGTAGTTAGATAACGGACAAACAGATAGACACAGATTTTTCTGCCTTTATACATAGATAAACATTAAAAACACGGTAATACCAAAAAAAAAACGTCTTTAATTATAGACGTTTCGGAATTGTTTAACGTTTATAATGGTATTGGAAACAATTCCGTAAGGTCCATAATTAAAGATGTTTTTTGGTATTACAGTCTTTTCAATATTTATTATAAAACTTCTTTTTCCACTTGATCAATCAGTTGGTTTTATTTAGTAAAGCAAGTATTACATTAGGATATTTCACTTAATATATTCCAGTGTAATAAACATGGATTGCCTAACATATAATGCTTACCAAAAGTAATTAAGAAACAATACATATTATTTTAAATTCCCTTTAAACATTTATTTCGAATTTCTTCAAATAGTGATTTCGGTTTAAGGTAACGAAAATTAAAAAAATACACAACACAAGGAAACATTTATGACTTAATGTACCGTACTTTTAATGATGAAATTAACTACGTTCTTTGTTGGAATAATAATAATTCATTTTAAATTCACTCCATGAATTTATTTCTAATAAATAGTAGGTTTGGTTATAACTATTCAACCAGTTTAAGATACATAAGATTACAAAACGTTACTAACACAAGAACACATTTATGAATGAGTTATGCTGTACTTTTAACAAAGACCTTAGATAGGTTCTCTATGGTGGGAATAATACATTCAACATAATTTACTTCAATTATTTTTTGATGTTGTTCAAATGTTTATGATATATATTAATATATATAATTTATATTTAAGGAATAGGAAAAGAGACTGCAATGGAACTCGCCAGGAGACATGCTCGTGTAATCCTAGCCTGTAGAAACCAAGAGAAAGCCAAATTAGCTTCTGACGACATCGTTTCATTAACCGGGAATAAGAATGTTAAAATAATGAAACTGGATTTAAGTTCTCAAAAGTCAGTAAGAAAATTTGCAGAAGAATTTAAAAGAACCAATGATCGCCTTGATATACTGATAAACAATGCAGCTGTCTTTGGTAAGAAATTTGTCTTGACATAATAATGATGACTCTCCAACTGGACTGTATTTCTTCATCTATTTTTTTCTCTCTCTAATAATTACCTAAATTACTTCTGCAACAATTAATTTTTAAACAACTGTCATTGATGCAAGCATATTCAGATATACAGTTTAAAATGAAGCTACCGTCGAAAAAAGCTGTGTCTCAGAAACTTATCTAAGTAACATCGTGTTTGATAGCTTACTTCGTCTTGACAAGTTGCCGGTACTTAGAATATAGATTAAGCTTTCATTGGGAAGAAAACTAGAGCATTAGTAACAATATAGTTGGCTTTCCGAAAACGTTTACCTTAATACATTAATTTAAATATATCTGTCTTTCGATGACGAGGAACCCACTTTGAGACTAATAATGGTTGGAGACGGCTTGAATGGGCAATGAATAAAAACTTTAATATAAGTTTAATATAACAGCAAATGTACAACGTTTCGACAAGGTTT